ATACGTTTATGTACTTATATATAGTTTTTGAAATATGATGTTAAATCAAAGTTGATTGATTTACATTATTTTTGCATTAAGTACAAAAATTATATTGGTATTTAATGGATTAATTTGTCTTTCAGGTAGCTCAAAAATGGCACAAAGAAGCAGAGGAGAGAGCACGAGAGGAGATGGAGCGACAATTGAGGGACCAGGAAAGAACAAGGAGACCGTCCAGGTTCGAAGTGATTCCGGCGCCGGATATTCTTAAGATGCAGAGGCAAAGTGTTAACGATCTAACAATGTCACCAAACAACGGTGCCGCTCCTGATCATGTGAGTCACGCCCATTTGACGTCAATGGTCACGCATAATTGTGTACATTTACTCAATTAACTACGTGGCGCTGGTCATCACAGAAATAGCTTCTTTTTCTCGTTTCACCTCATGTCACTCGCGTGTTATTTTTTTAGCACACCTACCATTCCCCGGTATTTGGGTCACAGCCGAAGAAATCGATCTTGAAGAAAACCAATTCCTTCACGTTGAAAGGATTCAGCCCGCTAGTTAGCCCCGCTGCTACTCCTTATACCACTGTTACCGGCGCGGAGAGCAGGTAAAAGAAATTAATATTTTTATGAAACGAGGAAATTAAAGTGAATGGATTGAGATTGGAAAATAGACAAATTTGAATTTTATTTTATTTTTGTATAGTTTATTAAAGTTTTGTGGGCCTATATCCGGTCTTTTATTTCAGTTCTATTTTGATTGTGAAAAGAATGAAAAAATTAAAATAAAAAGAAATTTAGATTAGGAATTAGATACATTTGACTTTACTTCACTTTCTATGTTCTATAGTTTATCTCCTTTTGTATATATTCCGTATAACAATGCAAAACTTGCTGTACTCTGAGAATTATTATAAACTGCAAAAAATCAAATGAAATGTTATTTTTACTCCTTTGGATACAACCAACAGAAAATTATATATCTTTTTCATTTTTAAATATTCTAATACATCCTCAGGATACGTCTTGCCTTTGAAGCAATCTTCCGCAAGTCAGCCACATTACAAGACGTAGATCCAGATCCAGAGATCGGATCTGGAGGTAGTGTCAGGCGTAACAGCCAAGATGTACCTCCTCACACCCCGATGTTGGTGCCGAGTCCTGCCACCTCGAAGAAAGTACAATTGGTAAATCCATATATTCCTTTTATCATCCATAACTGAATATAATTAGACTGCGAATTTTTATATAGATTCATATTTTCTAAAATATAATTCTTCGGTAAGAAAATTAGTAAATGTTATAATATTACAATATGTTATAATTATAATAAATATATATATAATATTTTAAATAATATAGAGAGCACTATATTATATTCAAAGTATGTATTTACACTTTTAAATTTTTTATAAAAATCCGCAATCCAGACAGTAACATAATTTACATATAACTGAATAATTGTTTATACATAACGATCAGCCTCGCGAGAGGGTAATAGACATGTCAGCAGAGGATCAGAAACGGTGGGAAGAAAGTGAAATGGCGTTAGAGGTGGACTTCTCAAGGTGTCACATCGATCCAGCACCTTTCCAACTGGTCGAACGGACGTCCTTGTTGAAGGTCCACAGTCTATTCAGCATGGTGGGAGTGAATCATGCTTATGTGACGGCTATTGGAAGGCTGGTTGGAGTTGTGGGATTAAAAGAGGTTCGTCTGTGAACACAGATTTGTTCCTTCCATTTACATTAAATTATTAAATCTAAATTCTATTTTCATTCATATGTATTTGTATTTTGTAACTATATATAATCATATTAAATCTTTTTTTTTTTGTCTATTTACAGCTGAGGAAATCGATAGAGGACGCGAATGCTGGAATCTTGCCCATGCACTCAGAATCTCATATAGGCGTCTCGACATCTAGTATCGCGAAAAGCGAAACAGATACAGAAAGCAAAAATGCTAGCACGATGAACTCTATCACTTCCGTTGATTGCGAGAAAGTTGAAAAAGTCTGAGTGAAAGAGAGAGAGAGAGAGAGAGAGAGAGAGATGGACGAGCAAGAAAGATAAGTAGAAGCAAAAATGTGATAGTCGTATTGTCAAGACCGACAATATGACCCGAACGAGAGACGTATTTTTCTTTTATTTTTCTTTTCTTTTTTTTTTCTTTCTTCTTTTAAATAAAATCTTCCTTCCGTGAACGTAGGACATTTTCCATGAAGCTCGAGCAATAAGTCGTATTTCTAGCCGTTTGTGTAGTTGCAATCGCTTTCGAACACCTCTCGTACTTAATCTCAGGACAAGACCATCGTAGGGCCAAACAATTCTCAATCAACGCAACGTGATGACGTTCGATATCGAACGTGTCGTTCTATAGTGAAGAGCACCAACGATGAAAAATTGCAGATACTTTAAATTGTTATAACTCAGTCTCATTTTAAAGTACAATCTCCTCTTTAATAGCTTTAAATTCATTTTTTTTTTTTTT